GAGAGAGAGAGAGAGAGAGAGAGAGAGAGAGAGAGAGAGACTTAAAGAGCTAACAATGGAAGCTAGGAAATTTTATACTCATCCTTTCCATCACTACCTTATCAGAAGCCTTCCACCCCTAAAGTAGGAAACATCTTGAATGACTCTTCATCCTCACAATTGGAATATTACAGGGTTCTATCCTTGGTCCTCTGACGTTCTCATTCTTAAATTCTCTGCTTACATTTTCTCACTCATTGTCAAGAGTTTACTTGACTGTATAACCTTAATACTTTCAACTCTATCTAATTATAACATCTCACAATTAATTATAGACTATTCCCTCAGGAATTTTAAATTCAACAAATTCAAAACTTAATTTCTTATCATGTTTCCTTGAGTCCCTTACCCCAAACATAAGATGTGTCTTATTTTCATAGTTCTGTTAGAGGCACATTATAGCCACAAGACTGGGATTATTCTAAATGCATTCCTCTCATTGACCTTCAGCTGTGATTAGTCAGCAAATTCAGCTGATATTGCCCCCAAGCTACCCTCCTCTTTCCATGCATACCAATTAGAATCCCAATAACTTGGCACTTCATTATCTCCTACAGAGATGACTTTAGTAGACTTCTAAATGTCTCAGTTTTATCGCCCAACCTAAGAGCCTTCAAAAGCCACCAGAATAATCCACCTAACACATTAATCTGACCAGCTGTTCCATAGCTATTCAGAATAAAATTTAAAATACTTCAAATGGCATAATAGACTTACCGTTACCTTGTCCATTCCACTCCCACACTCTTCCCTTGTCACTTGTAATATTCTAGCAATACGACTTTATTAGTTCCTTAAATATGCCATACTTCTTTTTGCCTGACCTCCTTGCTTTAATTGAAATGTGTCTGTTACTAAGACCACAATTCCTCCCCCTTAGGTTTTTTAGGAATGTCTCTTAAGTTGCTCAAACCTCATGTTATTTCATGTTTGAAGATATCCTGGTTTCAGACAATAGAACATACTACAAGGCTACAAGTAATCAACACAGCATGGTACTGGCATAAAAACAGGCACATAGATCAATGGAACAGAATAGAGGGCCCAGAATTAAATCCGGCATATACGGGCAGTTAGTCTATGACAAGGGAAGCAAGAATTTACACTGGGGTAAAGATAGTCTATTTACTAAATGGTGCTGGGAAAATTGGACTGACACATGCAAAAAATGAAACTGGACTACCTGCTTACGCCACTTACAATAACAAACTCAAAATGGATTAAAGACTTAAATATAAGACCTGAGACCATAAAATTCCTAGAAGAAAATATGGGGCCTAAATTTGCAGACATTACCCTGAGCAATATTTTTTACTGATACATCCCCAC